TAGAAACGGCTATTTTCGAGCAAGGGACTATAAATATGGTTGGTGACAGATTTGAAGAAGTTTAGAAAGTATTGTATTGAATATCTTTACCTACTAACTTGTGCTTTAACTTGAGATTTTGATCTTTGAGAGATCTTTATTTGTAATCCTCTTCTTGTTCTATTTGTGAGTAATCTTGGGGGTGTGACTATTCCGTCAAGAGTGATTTGTAGAGAGGATTATTTGGGTTTATCTTGTAAAGGGGTGAGATTTGAGTGAAACACCCTTATTCTTGTAAAAAGATTGAGTGGCTCCTTTAAGTCACCCTTGTTGTTGTTAGTGGAGAGTGTGGAGGAAATCCTTGGTGAGTGAAGCCAAGGTAAAGGACTAGGCTCCAAGTGGTTGAACTGAACCTCTATAAATCATTGAGCAAGCTCTTCTTCTTTACTCTTTTTAATTTTGGTTTTGTGGTTGCAAAAAGGGGAGAATTTTTGGAACTCCAATTCACCCACCTCTTGGAGTACATTGAGTCAACAGTAACTTAATGACAAAAAACAGTAATTTAATGGCCACATGTCACGTTAATAACAAAACATGTCAATTGGTTTTGGTATGCAAGGACCAATTTGGGGTAAATTGGTAAATAGTTGGGACCAAATTAGGGGTTTGTATAATAGTTTAGGGACCAAATCAGGGATTTTTTTAGTTCAGGGACCAAATTGAGGATTTAACCATTTTGAAATGGTTAAGGTTGAGCAGATTACTCCACCAAATCAACATAATGCGGTTTCCAACTTTGTGAAAGGCTTTCAAAGATGATAAAAGGATGTTGTGAATGTAAGCTTTAAATAATAGTCTTAGAGAGAAATGAAAGTTTGTGATTGTTATTTATTAGTTGTTATATTCAAAATTTTAAATAAAGGAATAAAGTTTGAAGTCAAATTTCACATTTTCTTGAATTCTATTTGTTGAGAAAAAGCAAGTTCCTCACTATAAAAGAAGAAAATATATGAAGGAGGCAACCTCCTCATTATTTTTCTTTTTCTTTTCAAAAAAAAAAAAAAACAAAAGAAATGGTCGTGAAGGAGGTAATCTCCCCATGCTTTTGGCTTGCATGACAATTATTTGGCTCTCATGTCACCTTTTCTTACAAGCAATTAGCTGAAGTTACCTTTAACAATGAAGAATCAATGTGCAAAATAATTTTAAATAATGAGTATGGTCGTTTGAGGACCTAATTTTATCTAATGAGGAAGTTTGGGAATCTATCTTTCAATATGCCAAAACCATGACTTGTTAATAATGCTCATATACTTTAAGTGTTGAAAGATTGGTCCTAAAGAAATTATCTAAGAGTTCATTTACCTATTTTCACTAGAGCTCTTGCAAAGAAGATGGTTGATGAAGCTAATTTAGAGAAAGGAGCTCTTGAAAATCGAGTTGAAAATATAAAGAACACTTTGAAGGAGTTGATGGCTTCCTTCCAATCTCTTCAAGTAACCTTAGTCGCAAGGGCACCTTTGACAACATATCCGTTGTTTGAAGGAAATAGTCCTATGACAAATGTCCCTATTGCCACATCTCCTTTAACTCTTGGAAAGGAGCCAATGTCATCTAGCCCACAAAATTCAATTATTAGAGCTTCTAGGACAAAACCACTTGTTCTAAATGTTGGTGTTACTATAGTTCAGTCTAATGAAAATGATCAAATAGAGACTCAAGTTGTCAAGTAATCACAGAGGATGAAGACAAGGCAATTAAAGTAAAGGTACAATTGATGGAGGAAACACTAAAATGCAAGGTGTCCAAACTAATAAACCGATTGACATCTCATTTTTATGCTCTTTCCTAAACATTCAACTGCCACATAAGTTCAAATTGCTTGAATTTGATAAGTACAATGGCACTGGTTATCCTTATACTCACTTGACAAGGTATTGTAAGAAGATGGCTCCTTATGCCACTGACGAGAAGCTAATGATACATTACTTTCAAAAGAGTTTGAAAAGTCCTACAAATGCCTGATTCTCAACTTTAGATAAAAGTAAGGTCAAGAGTTGGCATGATTTGACTCACAACTTCATGAAGCAATATGAATACAATACATCATTAGTTCACAGTAGGAAAGATCTTCACAAGACAAAAAAGAAATTAAGTGAGAGTTTTAAGGAATTTGCTCAAATATGGCATGGATTAGCTACTTGAGTTCAATTGCCATTGTCAAGTCATGAATTGAGTAATTTATTCATTAAGTTAACCAACGGCCCTTATCGTGAGAAGTTAATAACTTGTATGAATTACATTTTTACTTAGTTGGTTGTTGTGGGGAACAAGTTGAGAATGGAATCAAATTTGGTGTTATACTAGATTACCAAGCTATAAAGGATATTCTTGCATGATATCAAAATGGTAAATTGTTGGAATTGGATAATTCGACTCACATGAAAAGAGTCAACCAAAGTGAGAAGGACAAAAAGGAGAATGAAGTACAAATGGTGAATTCTGTTACATGTGGACTTGAAGAAGCAGTTCAAAATCAGGGAAGGAAGCATCAACATTTTGATTCCCTACCATTGTCATATTCAGAAATATTCAATCAAATGGTAGCACTTAGGGAATTGAATCCAATTCTGGCAAACAAGCCCCCTAATCCTTTGCCATTATGGTATGATCCATAAGCAAGATGTGATTATCATAGTGGGACCATTGGTCATGATATAGAAAGGTGTCTAACTCTAAAGCATAAGATTCCAGATTTGAAGGATCAAAACGATTACAGTTTTACTCAAAAAAGGTTGATCTTGGAACTGTTACTAATGAAGGCTTGGATAAGTGAACAATGGAGTTTTTCCCAGTTGCTATCATTTTGGAATAAAATGTGTCTATCATGTTAGTTTTTATTTGTATTTTCCAAACTCCTTTCATATTGCAATTTGAATCTTTGTTCTTCATGTTTTAATTCATAGTTATTCAGTTCTTGATTTTATACTTCCATGAGTTGCATTGTTACTGAACTTGAATTCAATTTTGAACCTCATAGAGAAAATTGAGGCTTAAGGAAAAAGGAAAGTTTGAGAAATGAGGGAGGTGATTGAGGGAGAAATAATGGATGAGTAGGAATGAGAGAAATGTACAAAGAAAAATTGATCTCACAATTTGAAACAAACATTCCTATGATAAAAGGCTTGAGAATTTTTATCCTTAGCATTTGAAACCTTTTGGATGAAAACCTTTTCCAAGGATTCATCATTAAAAATTGCCACAAATTGTACAAAAAAAAAAAAAAAGGAAAATGGTGGAATTTTGCTGCCTCTGTTAGGTGATTGTTATCATTTTGATGCCTATGGTAGAAGATCCAAGGATAAAAGGCCCAAGGATAAACGGCCTTCTTTTTTTTCTTTGAAACTTCATTCCCCCAAACCTTAAAAGATTATCCTTAGTTAAATACTTTCAGTTTAATTTCAATGAACATTCTTTCATGACCAATTCAACAACTTGGGAATATTGTTGCATGCCAAATTGGGGGCAAATGTCACTTTCATAGGAGAATTTGGTAAAAACTATTTTGAAGGGAAGAAAGAAACTCAAAGAAAGTGGAAGCTCAAAAAGAAGAAGAAGAAAAGAAAAAAAAAAAGGGAAGAAATTGAGGATAGACAAGCTAATAAATGAGAAGAAAGTTTTAAAACAAATTGAAGAAGAAATCTCTAAGACATGGCATGCAACTGGGGGGGCAAGTTAGGTACTTTGAACCTATATTGTCTATTCTTTTAGTAGCCATACCTAAGCCTTATAACAATCCTTATAACTCCTTTTGAGGGTTGGATATTGGTAGACACTTCGATGATGGCAATCACCAAACTAGGGATAGCAAATCATACTCAAATTAAAGAGCTTTTGGTTCAATGACAAAAGGCATTGTTTCTATTTCCCAAACACTAAAGTTGACCTTGGTTATCCACTTTGAGCCAAAAGAAAAGGTAATCATCATAATAAAAAAGCCAAGATGATTATTTCTTTGAATGTACCTACATCAAGAGCTTGGGGTGCGAAGAGTGAAATTGGGGGGTAGAAGGGATTTTGTCATTGAGCTTATATATCATTTTTTCTAATGAGCGAAGCCCCAGACCATGATACAAGCTTATTCAAAGCCCTTATTAGAGAATTTGAAAGCTGTTGAATCTAAGTGTGATACTTCTCAAAAAGAAGAAGAAGAAGAAGAAGAAGAAGATGATGATGATGAAGATGAAGGAAGATGAATAGAAATAAATATGGCAAACAAGTTGAGATTTCATGGGAAGGAAAATTTCATTGCTCTAGCCAAAATCTCAATTTTTGAAAACTCAAAATTCCACTTGGTTCTTAGTTCTGGAAGTAATTCTCATTGGCATCTTCACTATTGTTATCATTTGAAATCCTTACAAAGCTATTCTTGAGGAATTTGCTCATTTGTGAAAATGGGATCAATTTGTTTTTGAACATAAAAAAAAAAAAAAAGAGGAAGATTCAAAGGAAAAGAGTGAGAAAAGAATTTTGTGTCTTTGGAGGTTGCTTTTGAAAAAGAAAAAGGGAGAGAGAGAGAGAGAACATTTGTATGAAAAGGGCATCTTAATTGTATTCTAGGTCAATTTGGTAGTTGTTATTCATGGAAGTTAAATCACATTGTTTGTTCATATAATTCGTTGTGCTTCGCAAGATTTTTTTGTTAATCTTACCCATGATTGTTTTAAATGTCACTGAATTTGACATTGATTTCAATATCTCTGAAAGGTTCAAAAATCGTCATTTTATGCATGTAAGATTTGACATTTGAAAAGAAAAAATGATGATAAGTAGATGCATTTAATTCTTGATGATAGTTGGGGTGAATCAGACATGTTCACAAAATTTAAATTAATGATGACTCAAGATGACACTAAAGGACACTTGTTAATCACTTGAGCCTTCAAGTTTTAAAGTCAGGATATTGATGAAAGTTCAAGATGGAATTGAACATTGGCAAGAGGCACAAATTATTAAGGTTTGAAGAAATTCTAATTTGATTCAAAATCATTATCAAAGAAGGAGAGATGAAGATCGCATCTCAAAAAGAAGAAGAGTGAAGACTGCATCTTAGAAGTCACATCATAGATGAAGACCACATCTCACAAAAAGATAAGATGAAGAGCATATCATATAAGTCTTATCCTAGATGAAGACTGCATCTCAAGAAGAAGAAAAGATGAAGATCGCATCTCACAAAAGAAAAGATAAAGACTACATCTTAGAAGTCATATCTTGGATGAAGACCGTATCTTAGGAAGGAGAAAACATGAAGACTGCATCTTAGATCTCACATCCTAGATGAAAACCACATTTCAGGAAGAAGAAGAAGAAAAAGAAGAAGAAGAAGAAGAAAAAGAAGAAATGAAGATCACATCTCACAAAAGATAAGACAAAGACCACATCTTGCAAAAGATAAGATAAAGACTGCATCTTAGAAGTCACATCCTATATGAAGACTAGATCTCAAGAAGAAGAAGAGATGAAGACCACACCTCACAAAAGATAAGATGAAAATTGCATCTTAGAAGTTACATCCTAGATGAAGACCACATCTCAAGAAGAAGAAGAGATGAAGACTGCATCTCGCAAAAGATAAGATGAAGACCTCATCTTAGAAGTCACATTCTAGATGAAGACTGCATCTTAGAAGTAACATCCTAGATGAAGACTGTATCTCAGGAAAAAAGGATGAAGACTAGACTGAATCTTGCAAAAGATAAGATGAAGACCGTATCTTAGAAGCCACATCCTAGATGAAGACCATATCTTAGGAAGAAAAAGAGATGAAGACCATATCTCACAAAAGATAAGACGAAGACCGCATCTTAGAAGTCACATCCTAGGTGAAGATTGCATTCTTGGAGAAGTAGAGATGAAGATCACATATCAAAGAAGAAGATGAAGCTTTCACTTATAAATTATTTTCAAACCTTAAAATTGGGTTATTCTTTTATTCTTTACTTTTCCCCTTTTTTTTTTTCACAAAAAGAAAAGTAAAGAGGGGACAACTGTCATAACCCAATTTTAATTGGGACTAAATGATAAAAGTAAAAGTCAATGGACTATTTTTGTAAAAGCATGAAACCTAAAGGGCTGAGGGGAAGAATTAGCAGAACGACGTCATTTTGCTTGCAAGTAAAAATAAAGGCTGGGAACCCTAGCCACCCAAATCCCATTGCTTTCTTTACTCTACTATCAACCCCTCTCAAAATGGAAAAAAAAAATCCACAAAATTTTCTTGGCTTATCCCTAAATGTACTCAAGTTTTGAAGAAATTTTCAAAGATTGAAAGTCATCATCAAGAGGCGTAAAAGAAGAGTTCAAAATTGATTCAAAATGGGGAGTTCTAAGCATAAAAGGTATGAATCTAGATTTGAAAAGTGGTAGATGTGGGAAAAACTAAGGAATTTGGATTGGATATTAGAAGCACATTAGGATTGGGTTGTCCCTTTGTTTATAAAAAGGGGGCTTTCGCTAGCTAAGGGGGGCAAGGAAAAATTGGCGAGCATGGAAGGAAAAAAGAGTGAACGAAGACAAAAACAAAGTAAGAGTTTGTTGACCCAATGTACTCCAAGAGGGGGGGGTGAATTGGAGTTCCAAAAATTCTCCCCTTTTTGCAACCACAAAACCAAAATTAAAGAGAGTTGAGAAGAAGAGCTTGCTCAATGATTTATAAAGGTTCGGTCCAACCACTTGGAGCCTAGTCCTCTACCTTGGCTTCACTCACCAAGGATTTCCTCCACACTCTTCACTAACAACAACAAGGGTGGCTTAAAGGAGCCACTCAATCCTTTTACAAGAATAAGGGTGTTTCTCTCAAATCTCACCTCTTTACAAGATAAACCCCAAAGATCCTCTCTACAGATCACTCTTGAAGGAATCAACACACCCCCTAGATCACTCACTAATAGCACAAGAAGAGGATTACAAACAAAGATCTCTCAAAGATCAAAATCTCTAGTTAAAGCACAAGTTGGTGGGTAAAGATATTCAATATAATGTTCTCCTAACTTCTTCATATCTGTTACCAACTATATTTATAGCCCCTTGCTCGAATATAGCCGTTGGGAGTAAATAAATGCTCTGCAGGACACAAAGCTCGAGCTGCAGGATTGTCAGGAGAGCCGGCTTATACTTCCAGAGCCGGCTATTCGGGTTTGCAGCCCATTCTGTTTTCCTCGAGAGTCGGCTGCAAAACTTTAAGCCGGCTTTGGAACTTTGACTTTAAATACATTTAATATTCTTCAAATAAGTCGATCGTTGTGCATTAAATGCGCCCTCATAGCTGGCTACAAAGTTAGAGTCGGCTCTGCGTCTTTTCTCCACGCGCGCCAAACAACGGACTTTTAAATCTTTACCTGTAGAGCCGGCTGCAGCTTCCAGAGCCGGCTCTCTGCACTTCCATTTCATCAGAGTCGGCTGCAGCTTTCAAGAGCCGGCTCTCTGCAGATATTCAAGCCTTTTTGGTCCATTTTTAAGTGTAGTCCAATTTTACTTATTTTGCAATCTTTTGACATTTTAGCTACACACTTAAATGAACTAATTAGTCACTTAAATGTGTTTTGTAATAATCAAAATCATAGGTACAATAGAGT